TTCCTACATAGACAGTCAGAAATCATTAGTTTTACCCTGAAATGGTTTTCAATGATTTATTTTTCCACTATGGCCTCAAAAACATCTCCCTGTTGCAGGGTGCACCTCCCTGTCACAGTGTAAAGCTCAGTGCATCTTTCAAGAACTGATTATATGTATTTGATGCCTCCTAATCTTTTGCTTTTATGATGATGTTGTGGATGTTTTAGACTTGTTGTTGGACTTTGAAAATGAATGAATGAAAATAACCACTACCAAATAATGAAAATAAGTCCTCTGACTTTAGTGTGTACTCCCTGATGGAGATATTGTCTATATAAACAAAATATAGTTTTGCTAATAAAATTCACTGGAGGACTGATGCAACCATGATGAATGAATGGTTGAATCTGAGTTTCATTATATTATATTAATGCAGTATGTGTGTCAAATATGGACTCTCACTATAATGCTATACTATGTTGTGTTAAAATCATAATTTTGATACTCCACTAATTGCTTAAGTAATTTTTCAAACAAAAGGCATCAAGAGCACCTGAACAACACACTAGAATTCATGAACTACAGGCAGAGACAACACTCATCCCCAGTCATCCTCATGCAGTGTCACAGTTCTCCCACAAGGGGTCAGTGCAGTAGCCTGTGACCCGTTTGTGGGACCTTTTTGTGGTCCTGTCACTCAGTCTGTCATCATCACAAAAACTGCCACTGCTGCTGGCCTTCGCTTCAACCGACTGATGATCAGCCAAAGTAATCTACCTGTCTCTGAGCTCCAGTACTCTTCCTCTTTCATTATGCATGTGAACACGTTCTTACAAACACAGTGCACACATTGAACAGTGTATTGCAGAAGGGATGCCATTTATAAAGGACCTCCAGGCTGAACTCTGTTTGTTTGTTTGCATTGGTGATTATGGTTTGGCAGCCATCACCCTCCTCTCTCATGTCTTATGTACATCTTTATTTGGAGCTATCCTGTAAAAACAGGAACCAAATCTAGGTACTTTTGATTCAGGGCTTCCAGAGGGAATCACATGCTTGACATTTAAGTCAACCCTAGGCCTTGTTCATCAGAAAGAGAGACGCCATTGTCTGCTTCATAGAGAATCATTAAACCTGCCAAAGTGGAGGCAATGAAGGTTAAAGAAAATCCACAATGTCCTTGAAAAAATATTGGTGCACTGAGATGATGACAAAGCTGGATCAGCCCTTCCTCATTTCAGTTTTACTCCTTCTTCATGTGTTTATTTTACAACATCCTTGCTCCATTTCTTTCAATCTAGTTGCCACAATGTATTGTAAAACCACTTTCTCATTACATTTTGCCTCAGTGCTGCAGGACAAACCCCTCCAAACTGTCCCTGAAGTGCCCGTGCCCTCCTGTCCACCTCCCCCTGCTCCCTTCCCCTGATGAAAAAGCCATGAAGTTTACGCCTCATTTCTTCTGGATGGATTTAAGATCCCTCCCTTCTTCTCTCCTGTCTTTACTTCGTTTTTTTCCTCTCTCTTTCTCTGTGTGTCAGTGGTTGATGAGGTGAATGGAGTTGGTCAGGAGGATGAGGGGCCGGAGGAGTGTGGGGTCAGACGTCTTCATGTGCTAGAATGACAAGATTAGTGAGGTGCATGTGTGTGTTTTTCTGTGTGTGAGCAGAAATATTAAATGTTACAGAGATTCCACATGTTAAGGTGACTGCTGGACATCATTCACAGTTCACAGCTGCTTTTTCAGGACTTCTGAGTCGCTGAGCTTTCTTCCAGATCTTGGATAGTTGTAAAACAGTAAGACAGCGATTCTCACATTTTTTCTGCTTGTGACCCCTTATAGTGAAGGATTGTCTACTTGCATCCCCCTGTCACAGGCTGCATATGTGTATAAACTATGAGCAGTGAGAATCATAGTCGTTTTTCTCTGTAAACATCTGAGGTTGTTTCATTTCACTAGCTGCTAAAGGCCTAGAAGCAAAACAATTCAAAATTCTGCAAGAAAACTGCAAAGTTTAGAGAAAAGTCCACATTTTAAAACAAAGATGTTTTCTTCTTTCTTATCATATTCTTCTTCCCACAGCACCTCAGGTTTAACTTGTGACCCTATTTAATTTGAATAATTATCAGATGACCAAAAAAGCAAGATAATGCAAAGAAATGCAGAGTTTAAAAGAATCCAGAATGAAAAATAATAAATAAATTAACAATGAAAAGAGCACATTTGTTAAAGAACTTTTTCCTTCTTTGTTATCTGATTATTTATGTTCTCAGATTTCCAGTATGATATGTAAAGACCCTTTTATAGTTATTGATTTGGGATTGCCTCAGTTGAAATTTGACAATTGTGAGAGAAAACGTGGTAAAATATTCAGTCGTCAGTCTAAAACAGTGGTCCAGGATCTCACTGTGAGATCCTTCCACCAAGCCAAAGACAAGCATGTGGTGAAATTCTGATGGTGTTCATACTTCAGGGCCAAGTTCTAATAATATGATCTTGCTGTAATCACTGACTACAAAACCTAAATGAGATTGCAACATGAAATGTCGGGAGGGGGATCCAAACACACAAAAAGAGGTTTGTGGTATTGGCAAAGAATAAAAACCTGTCTTGCTGCATTTTTAAAATCATTTTTCCTATTTATATCATAGATGTACAATTTCTTGCACAGTGGGATAATCCTCACAGGGATATTATATGGTCTGTCACAGATTGTGACCAAGGTATTGATGTTACTCTTGTACAGTGTTGAGACAATAACCTTAGACCACTGGTTCTGTAGCACAGAATTGCCTCAAGACAGCAAACAAGTTGACCCCTCTGATGGAGAGTTACTGGAATTCATGAAAGTAATATAATTGCCCAATTTAAAATTCCTTATCTTCTTGTTACTGAAAATAATGATCTAGTAATGTAGTGCTGTCCAACACTGTCAGTGACCAAGAAAAATTAACATTAAAAGTGTAATGTTAAAATGTTTGAACTACTTGAAGCCTTCTTGCTGTGCTCTCCCCTTTCTTCCACTTTTGTCACCAAAGTCAGGCAAAGGTCAGTTTGATTTAGAGGTTTTTCAAGAACATGAGGTCTGTTGCGTTATTTTAACCCCGGGTCCACCTTCCTTTTTTAACTCCAGCATCAGTCTCCCTGACTAGGAGTATGCCTGTGTCCCCAGGGCAGTGCATGGAAGTCTACTGTTGTCTTTTCATCACAGTGTAAGCTGGTTAATCCAGCGGCCTCGTATATTTAGACAAGGGCTCTACAGGGGTTTCTCCAATGGACGCTGTTGCCAGTTCCACAAAGCAACCACACACAGACCGTCCGGCCGCATCTCACACGTTCACCATGAAGAAAACAGCTGCTACATCAAGCCAGCACATTCTCATCTTTTTTATCCTCTGTGTTATTTCTAACTAATTCATACAATGTTCCAACAAAGCATTTAAAATTCATCAAGCACCAGTGGCTTTCAGGCACAGAGGGTCCTTGATTATAATGGCACCTTATGTTTGTTGTGGTGTCTTTTCTGGGTGGACGGCTGAGGCGGTTGACATGTTGATAGAGGACAAGAGAAGTTGATGGTCCATTGATGTTTTGGAGCTGAGATGACATCAGTTTTACCTTAATCAAACATCTCCAATTTGGAGATGTTTCAGGAGATCCTGTCGGTGGTTGTTTCATATACTTTTGAGAATTTCAAGTCGGAACAAGACTATTAAAGGCCAAAACAGGAATTCTGCACCCAGCGTTAGTTTGGATGACAAAATGTTCCCATCTACTTCAGTTTAGATCTTTACCTACCCACAAGAGGAAATTCTTTTGTCCAAGGATTCACTAGACCGTATCCAAATATTTAGTCTTTTCCATACAGGAACTGTTTGTAGCTTTAAAGTCAAAGTCTGGGTTCAGAGGGTGTTCACTAAATGTCAAGCAAAGAGTTTCTCAAAAGCTTAGCTCAGTGTGGAATGTTTTTTATATTTTGTATGAAATATGCCAAAACCTTTATGTACAGCTGTTATGACATGTCAAAATTCATCTGAATACAATTCTGAATAATTCCACTTTTATATCAGGGGCCGCTAAAATGAATTTGGTTTGGAACCAACTCTTTACACCTACTCTGGGTGTTAAAAACATGGAGAAGTGGGTGGCGTTGGGTTGCTGGGTGGTAATTATACAGTGGCTGAGCAGATGCTTCTTCCTGCCTGTCTCCCGCTGCCCATCACCCTAACCGGCCCTAATGAGCAAAATGCTACACTTCCACGATCAAGACTGTGGCGGCTGGACCACAGCCCAAGGTAGCATCTCAGGGCTGCTGTTATTTTAACCATTAACATAATAGTAACATTAGTTCCAGGGCCACGCTTCCCTGCTCCTTGGGAACCATTGTTTAAAGGCACAAGCCAGAGACTCTTCCACAAGCCACTGATGCTTTGAGGAGGAGAGTGTGGACACAGACCAGCTATTCATAAGTCTAACATCAGTGCAGGTTATGTTTTTATTTTTCAAATTCCTGAGCCACATGTTGAACTTGAACTTGTTTGAATTGTGACAAATTACATAATAACTTCCTCGTAATTATGAGTTTGTCGGTTTTAATCTCCTCCTTTTTGTCTCCGTGTCCTGTCATGTGTCATGTTCCCACACGAGAAGGTGTTTATCTCATTGCTTTTGTAGCAGGAAAGCTTAGGAGGAAATGTCTTATAGACTTTGAAAATCATACCCTAAAAACAAGGTTTACACTACCAATACAACAACAAATAATTCTCACACTTAGAAAATAACTTAAAAAGTAACATCAGTGTTTAAGCTTTTCTTAAACATTCAAAAATTATTTTAAAAATTAGATCAAAATAAAGCATATGAGGCATATGAGTTTAATTAAACAAAATCTGCACCAATTCACTGAACAAATATTTGTGGATTTAAGGAAGGAATTAAAGACACATGATATGTTCAAAAAGCTGTTTTGACAGCTAGTAGACTTTAGAAAATGCAATGTGATCCTGCTTGAACTCACCTTGCCACAGCCACATCAGCCAGACTCCCCTCAACAGGTGACTGATATCTCCGTTTGACATGTTTCCTGCTTCCGTGCACTTCATTCACAAACTCTGCTTAGAAAACAAACTTTGATGACAGGGAAATCCTAGAAACAGAGAGGCTCCTGTCAACAAGAGATGATCATGGGGGATATCACCATGACACAGGCTCATAAATGAAGTGTCCAGTAATCCCTCAGATGAAAATC